ATAAAAACAGTCACTAATATAATTAAAAAAAATCAATTTTTTTTTCGAATAACCGTTCTCTCGTCAATTGTTATTAACAATAACACACAACACTAATTTAGATTAATAAATTATTAAACTATATGTTCTTTATTAAGTATTAATGAATTAATATAAATTAAATTGCTGATATGAGGGTCTTGGAATTAAGACACGTTATCGTCGGCAATGTGATGCGTTGTCATTTCGAAAATACGAAAGACGCGCGTTTAACACGTCGGCCAACTCTCCACTCCACACCTAGAAAACTATATCATGTTCCTCATTTATTGCTACGCTGTCCTTTCCATTTTAAAAAAAATTACATACAAATTAAGGAAATTAAATTTACTAATAGAGAGTACTGATTTATGAGAAATTAATGGTGAATAATTTTGTATTTCTGAATTCTGGTTTTATAAATATCTTCAGTTAACGCCAACTACACAATAAATATTTAAATTTTATTCTTTTATGAATAATAAATTATTAATAAATACTTTAAATTTTAAGTTTGCCTTAAGTAATGTATTTACTTTTATAAAAATGAATTTAAAGATTTAATTTTATTCTAATTAGTTTTAAAAATTTATAATTGATGAATAATATTTAATTGTTGTCTAAATGAATCCTTCAAATTTACTATTTTTATAAATAATTATTTTAAAAAAAATAAAAATGGAGGTTTTCGTTGTCTTAGTTTGTTGATATCCTATACGTATAAATATGATATTTTTTTATGTTAATTGCTTTCTTCGCATTATTTTAAAAATGTGCTTTTATAAATTAAATATAGAAATTTGTTAAGAAACTAGACCAATATTTCAAATTGTAATTGTTCATTAATTGTAAAGATGGAGTAATTTAATTTAACAAGTATAAGTGGTTTAAATAAGATAAAATATTAATTATTTTATTATTTGAGACAAAAGGTTTATAAACAGAAAATTTAATACTTTTATTTTATACAAATAATTTACTTTTCTAAAATTTCTTTTACTTTCTTTTCCATTGCATCTTTTCAATCTATTTGAGTCTTGATGTTAATAAAGAAGAAAAAATATTTTATCGTTAAAATTTTATTTAAAGTAAGTTTTTTTTTCTCCTTTATCTTTTTGGATGTTTTTTCTCTGTATCATTTGCATGTTGAAATGAGGTGTATGTACTTGCATGTGAAGTTTGATGGGAAAAAATTGGATATATGTTTATTTTGGATCGTAATAATATTTTTAGTTTGAAAAAAGTGGATATATTTAAATACATCTCAACATTTAATTATTTATGTTAGATAATTATTCAGTGAATTTATTAAAAGATTCATGTATGACATTCATAAAATATAATTGGAACAAATCATTTGCAAAGCATTCGTTTAAAATCATACTTTAAGAATTGACAAAAGAATTTAAACATAAAGAAAGGAACACTTATATGCTTTGCTTAATAATAATCCACATCTAATTGAACTAGAATAAGAACCAACACTACATGTCACTCGATTCACTTGCAAAATGAATAGAAAAGACACCAAAAGAGGAATACGTCCAAGTCCGACGCCACTTCAACGATCACGATGAGTGAAAGGAATTGTCGCTTGAGCTACCTATTAAAGATAAAACTCACGCACAATCCGCAACTCACATCAACAACATTTCAACATATATATTTCAAATATAAATGTGATAGAAGTGCAACTCTCTTATTTATAGGAAGAGAAATTACTCTCATCACATGTCTAATCACCTCATAATAAAAAAATTAAGAAGGATTATATTACAAGGTATCCACTAATTGGAATTGCAAGCTACTCTTAATGTAAAATATGCTAAAGAATATACTAAAATGTTTGCTCTAAGCTTGCTTTCTCTCAAGTGCATATGCTATAAGTTGTTAGTTTTTTAACGTGTCTACTTCATTATAGTTGCGTTGGACGAAGAACACCTTCCGTTAAGCAAGTTATTCATGTCATCGCTAGGCACAAAATAATTATCATTAAGGGTTACCTATTTTTTTTTTTTTTATAAAGGAATGGTGAGCATTGATTCATGCTTTAAGGTTAAATCAAATTATGAAGATTATTTAGAATTTTCAGGTAAGGAGAGATACTCGGTTTATCTTAATATATCATTTTAAAATATAGTTATTTCGCTGCAACAATTTAGTTAGATAATCTTCTATTGTATGTTGAGTATAAAATGCTTTACTTGCATACGAGTATGAAGTTCTTTAGTAGAGTCAACAAGCACTTTGCCTGTGTTTGACATTCATTAAATGTATATATAATTTGGTATTAATGTGTTGCATGTAAGTTTCTTGATCATTCATTCCAAGGTTCATTTGTACCGTGTGAGTAAAATGTTATTTAGATGCATGTTGATATTGAAGTTATTGATTTGGATGTTGAACTAATATTATTTTTTATTTGTCTAATTGGAGTCTTCATTTTTCTTTTAGCGCTAAAGATAAAGTAATTTCATTATTGTATTTTTATAGAAATAATATTTTTGAGATGAGAGGGGAGTGTTGTTTGGGTTCGAGTGAGTTAATTTTGTTTTTATAGTTGTTGAAATCGAAAGTGTTTAAGCGAAGGTCTAAGTCACTATAATAAGTGTTTCTTCTAATGCTCACACTCGATTAAATTAAAAACGCTTGAATGCAAATGTAGTGTCTCAATTATTCAAATGCGTGCTTAATCTAATGTCCTTGCTCAACGAAATAAAAAAAAAATTAAGTAAATGTATTGTTTGAGTTACTACAGTGAGTGTATTGTTTAATGTCTTTTCTCAATGAATATACTGGTTTAATAACTCAAATGAGTGTTTTATCTTATTTCGTTAGAGAAACTATTTTCACTTAAATTGAGTAATATTGAATTATAAACTTGAATGATTTATTGTTTTAATTAAAGTAAGTTACGACACACACATACATGTAATGGAGATGTGAGTGACATGCTTATGTATGACATGTGATTGGAAGTCACATATTGAAATGATTTATAGACTATGACTTGATACAAAGTATTCATTATTAAAACTTATAAAGAGATATTTGACTTCATAAATAGCCTCGAACAACATGAAGTAAGACATTACTGGTGGTGAAAGATTGAAACGTAATTTATTATTCATGTGACATATTATTAGTTTTGGATTTTGAACATCTTAAACCTATTACGAATCTGTAAAACTTGAACATGTTTAAATGATAAATGCGTTGTTCTATGATGGTATATGATAAGACTTGTTTAATTGTGTGTTTAAAAGGGTGTGAAAAAATAAATGTGTTTGATAGATGGTTCGTGAGTAATTTGAATACATATACCATTTTAGAGATTAACAACTTTTGTTGGTTCACTATATATTTACTAGTTTCTACATCTATAGGACCAAAAGGAGATCAGAAAAGTAGGTATGGTGGAAGAAGATGGAATGAGGAAGGATGACAGTTTTGTTTGAACGAAGAATACATGAAGATTTTTAGTGGCAGCCATGCAATTCTAAGTTCACCCTAACTCTCAAATACTCGGGACCTTATTAACATTTTTATGCTTAGAATGTTTGTTATGGTTTAGTAATTATAATGTATAGGGATGAGCTTGAAATAAATAATGTTCAAATATTACGAGAGTTTATTCATGTGAATTTTATGTTGGTCGAATGATTTTAAATTGACTGATATTTATTGTTTGACTTAATTTCTACCTTTATGTCATGTTGCAATTCTCCCATGGACCGAGATGTATGTTGTCTTATTGGAATCATAGTGAAATTTTAGTCAATTACTAGACATATCATAAATTACGAGTGGGAAGAGGAATTCTCAGTGTAAGGATTTTAATTTTTATGTTATAACACAAGTGTATGAAATAAAAGGTGATAATTAAATTTAATTATGTAAAATCGTTAGTTTATATAGTTAGATGCTTGAAGTGTGTATGAGAATTGTGTAGTGTAGGTAATTACAGGTTTTATTAATAGTATAAATAGTTAGATTTTCATAGAGATTGACTTTGATTATGAGCTTGGTTGGTGTGTTGTAACAAAAAAGAAGAGAAGAAAAAATAAATGTCTGGACAGTTTTTTACTCCATCTCCTTTAACTTCACAAAAGATTTTTTTTATTTAAAAACATTCTTTGAATTACACGAAAGTTATTTTTAATTTTAACTTATAAATTATAATTTATATATTTTTTATTTTCAAAATACCCAATTTAAAAAGACAAAATAGAAATTTTTTATATGGGATGCAGGAAAAAAAAGTTATGGATTCCTGATGTGATTAGATCATTTGTCCAAACAGTAGTGATTGAATCTCTTAAACTTTCACAAAAGGCAATTACTTCAGTTATTTTCTTCTTCATTATCCTCTCTTCTCCAACTTTTATTTCTCTCTCAAATTCAAAGAACCATAATTATGATTTTTCCATTTACTATAAATGCTAATGATAACTATGAGGAGAAATATTTGAATTTGAAATATGCAATAAAGAACCTAGCTCAATTATGAAAGAATCATGGTTTTGGACTTATACAAAAGTATTAAATTCTAAAATGCCACAAACTTCAAAGTTATCAAAATTAACAACTAATTCTTGAGGGTAAAAAGGTCTTTTAAACATTTCATAAAAATTCACGTGACTTCACCTAATTTTACATGCAAAATAGAGTGAAGAGATTTTGGACCATTGTAACTTTAGAGCTTCCATTATTTATACAGCTACATTTTCATTATTTTAAAATTTTATTTATATTTATTTTTATCATCTAATACGAAGTTTTATTATTAAAGAAATTGTCAGAGAAATGAATGTTAAATTATTATTTTCCTTATATCAACAATAATATATAATAAGATAAAAAGTTTGTTATAACAAAATATTAATCATGTTGATTGATTATTTTGTTTTCACGATGAGTCTGGGGGTTTAACCGTCTTTTAGTTTATGTGCATCCCTTGAAGAATTATAAAGGATGTTGGTCTGTGCATGCACTTACATAACTGCAGTGCAGGGGCACCTGTAGCCGCTCTTCTACTCAGCAATGGAAACCCTAGACTCAGCACCATCAACTCCTGTAAGAACCACTGATTCGGAGGATCAAACACCATCACCATTACCGCCATCGGTGCTCAGACTGTGGAGGCCTCAAGCGCAAAGAAATTTGAGGAACCAATGGTCACAATTGGCGTCGCTCAAAAATCGATGGTTCTCTGCTTCGTCTGCAGGAAGATCTCATGCAACTGCTCTCGTTAATTCTCATCTCTCCCAAAGGTCTTATCAATACGTTGAGTTTCATTCTATTGCCGATTTCGCATTCAAAACTAAAGACATAGGAACAGTGTGTACTTAATTGAATTTGGAACATAGGAACAGTATGAGCTTAATTGAATTTGAAAATTTGGATGTTTTCTTCCGGTGGAGCTTTTCACGGAGTTGTATCTGGCGAGTTATTTTTTTAATTAATGAGATTTTTTTTGTTTGGCCTGTAAGGTGTTTGTGGTTATGCTGTTTTGATTGTTGTTTTGTAATTGATGTAGGTACATGCCTGATATGAAATTAGGTGTTCTGAGCGATATGCCTGGTATAAGAAAGAGAGCTTGTTTGAAGCTATTTAAGCGGCAGGTATTGTTAATTTTTGTTTTATTGTCCTTCTTCAACTTCTGTGGAAAGTTTTTTTTTTTTTTCTTTTTTTGCATTAAGATTGTTTGATTTTAAGCTAGCTATTCCGAATATCACACAATGACATCAAACTCTATTTCACATTTCAATTTATCAGGGGAAAAGAAAAATCAGTGCATGGTCTTGGTTTGACAAGAGAGGTCATGGATTTAGTTTCTGATGAACTAAAGATAAAATAAACATTTTGTATTGGAATTCAAAGTAAATTGAATTTGTTTATATAATACTTGGATTCACCCTATCATGCCCTTGTGTCTACCATATAATGAATGCCGGGAGTTTGGTTGTATTCTCCCTGTTGCATCTGATGAAACTGCCAATTGTAGACTTGATAGATTATTGGTGGTAGCAGATGAACTCTTTCCAGTAAATTATCATTAGTTTGCAAAAATGCTATTTTTCATGGTTTTAGTAATTATTTTGTACATGTTTATAAGAAATAATTCCACTTTGCCTTTTGCAAATTTGTCAAAGGCCAGTTATGTATTTATTTATATCATATAGAACCTCTGTGTGTTGAGACTAATTAAATATGCAGATTTTTTATGCTGAAAGTTGATCTCTTTTACTTCTCTGTAACTTCCATTTGGACATTCAGAACACAGCATAAATGACAAGATTTAGTTCACATTGGAGCTTTATATAAGCCATATTTTGTCTGATTTAATATGAACTTTGACATCACATGTTGGTAGCGTGGCAGTGGGTTCTTTTTGTGATCAATTTCTTTCACTTATCCGCATTAACATAGGCTCTATTTGGAGCCACTAATTCTCTTTTGGCCTACCATTATAAATATTTCAATATATACTTATCCTTTGAGAAAACATAAGAGTAGTGAGCTGGACTGTTTTAGATAAGTTTCTCATGCGAAGTATGCCTTTTATTCTAGATTGAGAAGGTGAATCTGTAGTTGCTTTTATATTGCTATTTTTTTTTGTGTGTGTGTGATTTTGAATGGTGAACATAACTGTGGGTCTGAGGTTAGAGAAGTCTGGGTAGCGATATTTATGTGTGCTCTTGTTCACAATAGTGGTTGATGTGCTTAAAAAGATGTCCTCAGATATTCAAATATTTGATGTTTTCTGAATTAAAATTATGCAGAAATTTGGAAGGCCTCACTCACTTTAGGATCCCTTGGTTATAAATGTCTCATAGTGTTGATAGTTGTAAGGGTGTGTTTTTTTTCTCACTGATTATATTACCTGCAGTCAAGCATGTATGTTCTTTATTTTCATTTTCTACCTCTTTTTGATATCCCAATTTAGGGTTGGGGTTGTTTAAAATGATTAAGATTCCATGGGAGTTGTTTGTAGTCTGGAGTGGAAGAGGAGATCATCTTGGTAGTGGGAAGTTTACTGTAGGTTCAAGAACAACGGAAGTGAGATATTGGAAATCCGGTGTCCTAAAAACATTACGTTGGCTGATGTGTTTAATCATCGGGAATTAAACCCGTGACACCTCTAGGCAAACACAAGGGCATGCTGTGCTTTATTTTACTTGATAAAGTGAATAATGAAATGCTATTTGTTGTCTGAGTGATATCCTCAATAGCTTGTTTTTAAAAGTAATACTCGGGATAAGGTTTTGACTAGAATGGTTGAGATGTTATTAACCTAGTTAGTATCAGTTCTCATGCAATGCAAGTTGTTGAAAGTTTATTCCTTAAGTATACAGTCCTTTTAGACACCATTTTATTTGAGTCTACTTGAAGGTTCCTATAGTAGGTATTTGAGCATAGTTGTTGGAAAAAAATACGCTCCGGTTGGCTCTCCTACTTCTCTTGGATGTTTATCTAAACATAATTTCTATCGATAAGGGGTTTAATTTTTCTCAAACTAACAAAAACACAGTGATGACAAGAGTCCTTTCTGCTTTCACAGAAAAATAGTTCATAAAAGTCAGTTATTTTTGTACATCTGTTCAGACGGATACCTTATTCTCTCGTTAATCTTATTATTCTCCTCCCATATAAATATCTTTTATTTAAAAAATAACCTTTAAAGTATATGACATCATTTTAATATCTATTTCTGTGGTTATTGTACTTGATTCAGGAACTGCAAAGGAGCAAATTATTGTTGTGTTATAAGGACATGGTATGTCACATCTATATTGTTTAATTTCAATTGGGAGCCATTGATATATTTGTACTGCAAAGAAATGTAACGGCATATTATGACATGTATTAATTACATAAGCTGCTTGATGGACTAAAATTCATTGTTGAAGCCATATAATTTTAGTAAATGAATTCCAAATTTTTGTTCAATATTCTAGTGACTCTTTAACATCTCTGTGCTTAATAAATATAGCTGTCACATACGCATGGTTAAAGTAGGCGATTGTTTTACTTAAAAATGCTGATTGTATTTATGTTTTATGTTTTATTTTTATTTTTTTGTAACTTCAGGTGGGTATTGTAAGTGACATGATCAATGTTAGCAGATCGATGAAGTGTTTCTTCAAAGGATCAAGCAGTAGTCCTCTGTTACAGTTTTCTTATAACTCTGCAGACCAGAGTGACTTTGGAGATGCTGGAGATGGTGGTGGAATTCCAGTATTTACATTTTATTCAATCACTTCACATGGTATGGCAATATTTGCTGAATAAGTAATTGATAGTTTATACAGCTGCCCAGTTGTTGAGACAATTTGCCAGTTATTTTCCCAGTTCCTTCATTTTTTTTCTGAATATATTTTCACATAAGGACGTAACTCTTTAGATCTTGCTAATAATAAGTATTCATCGTAGAATCTTTTAATCCTCGGAGGTAATATTGATTTCATTTTAAGCATTATATACTTACTAACCACAGAGTAAGTTTATGGGGAAGTTGCAACAATGAGACTGTATTTCGCAATTTTTCCTATTAAATTGGATAAAGATTGTGATATAATCCAATAAAGGGGAAGAGAAATTTTCAGAATGCATACTTTTTTTTTCTGATAGAGTTGTCAGCTGTTAGTACTATGCATTGTTAGTCAATCATTGAGGGTTTAAGTTTAGCTTAAATATTATAGATTTTTTTTTTAAGGTTTAGCCTGAATATTATAGAATTTTTCAAATTGTCTCGAGGAGTTATTCCAAATCTGAAAATAATTCAACGATAACAATGTTTCTTCCACCAAAAAATCAATTCATATCTTTTACTTTCTCTCTGTGTAACTAACCCGTAAGGGAAATAATAGTGTGACGCGTTCCCTGAAGATTATTCATGTCAATTATGCTAAAATTGCAAGGTTTGAAATCGCAGAGAAATTTGCTGAGGAATTGGTTCAGATGTTTAGGCTGGAACTGTGTTTGAAGGTGAATTGCAATTTCTGCAAAAATATTTTCATTATATATTTGATTCCTAACTTTGTTCTTACTGGGAAACTTGCATCAAATGGGCAGCGATTACTTGTTCTTGAATTTATGTCCATTGGTTATGACACTTCAGAGGTAAAACAATTGCACTGGTCAACTCAGCTTTATGACGATGAATTCAAAGATTTGACAGACTGCAATCTGTACTGTGAAGTGACTCATGGACCAGTTCCACCAAGTTTCAGGGATGGGAAGTCTGACATTGCCTCTTTAAGATTTGACAACCAACCCAATCCTGAGATTTTACAGGTATTCAATACCACGTTTGCTTGTGAATTCATTTACATTTGAGGTTTAAATATATAAAATTGATTTATTTCCATCATTTAGAAACTGCACTACGATCTGGAAATCTAAATTAGAATATGATACATTAGCCGAACTGTAAATCTATTTTAATTAGACTAAATTAGTTTTGGGGCGGAGAGGGATGTAAGCTAACATGATAAGAGTCCGGTGCGATTTTAGTAAATGCCGTTGTCTTCGCAAGGGTTCATTCGCAGTTTCTTATATACTGGAGTTTCCCATCTCTCTCTGATTGAAGAAACAATGTAATGTCGGAAATAAATTTGTGCAGTTACTAAAATTGAAAAAAAAATGAAAAGCAAGTTTGTAAGTCGATGACGTAAGAATACTGTGAATGAATACTTATGCCACTTGGAGCAGAACATGTTTTTGCTATTTTATGCATAATATAAGTTTCCTTCTTATAATATGATATTTTCTAAATATATTGTACATAACAGGTTTATTTAACAACATGGCTTGCAGAGGCAAACCTAGACACTCTCAAGTAAGATTGCGACGAAGTTCATATATGTAGTTCATGAATCTGTTTATCAGTGTCTAAAATGCTTCTAATCTCCCCCACCCTCTCCTTTCCCTCTTTAATTAGAGTGAATGAGATATTTACAGTGGTTGGCGAGGAAATGCATGTTAGCATTGTTTAAAGCTGCCGTCAACAGGAATGAGTCTTTAACATTGAGTGACATTCTTTTTAGACGTTTTCATAGTTGGCCATGCCAAAAGAGTGGTAAGAGTTGCTTATTGCTTGCTGTTGCTGTTAAAAATGATAATTATGTTATATAGATGATTAATTTTAGTCTCACAACACTAACAAATTGTGGACAGACAGGATCTTCATATGTGGATGAAATTTGTTCAAAGGAAAAATTAGCAGAATTGGTGTCTGCATAGATAATATGCTCAATATATTGCAAATATGAGGGAGGTACTAAGCTATTTTTCTATGGCGAATTTATTTTCCCCTTTAAACCCTCTAGGAAAGTTTATACATTTTGAATGTTATAACTGTATAGTTGGAAAGAACCTACAGACAACAACGATTGGGTTTTGGCTATTTGGATTTTGAACTGGATTAACTGATATGGTCCAAAAGCTGTTATGAAGAAGAAATATATTAAATAAAATGTTGGCCGAAAATTAATTTCAAAAGTATGTCGTCAATCAGTTTAATTTTTTATTTTAAAAATTGAAATTTGTAAACTGTTGTGTTTCTTTATTATATTATAGATGTAAAGTGATTAGAAGCAGGGTGTTTTGGTTGCTTTCTAAAGAAACAATGGATAACTGTCAGTGTTGTATATATATGTTTGCTTTCCAGCTTTGTCTTTTGGCATCTTCCCTTGGATGTGCGCAAGTGCGATTGGTTGAAAACATAGTACAAGTTCATTTGCGTGGTAAAAGGACGAATTTTGTCGCTGTCAAGGTCCGAGTTCATTTATTATTAGGATGATGACTTTCATGCATTCGCTGATATGAATGGTCAATTCATAATAGCATCCCAAGACGTTGACCAATCCAATTTTTCAATAATTACAATTAATGGAAACTAAGCTGTCATTGCTGAAAGATAATAACTTTAATCATGATATGATACTTTGGACCACTTTAGAAATATATGGATCAGCATCCGCCGGCGGTTCGCATCATACGAATAAAATACGTCGAACACAGGAAACATGCGCTGAATTTTTGGGACAACTGAATGAGAAACTTAAATAGTTCAAAATCTTAAATGGAACGAAAGATGCTTACGAGTGCGAATAAGACTGAAACTCAAGCCACGCACATATTAAATTCTACATATGAATCAGACAATCGACCCATATGATTTAGAACATGAAATATACAGCCTATGGTATTTTTTTGCTCAGATATTTCACTAAGTACTGAGGTTATTATATTATATTAGTACATATAAAGGAAGATGATTTAGAATTGGAATTATAGAAATAATTAAAGAAACAGTTTAAGATCTTATGTTCTTTAAAGAAAACAATTAAACATTGAACAGCTCATGCTTAAAGTAATCAGCTAAAAACGAGCCAAATGGTATGATTAAAACTAAGTAAACTGCATATCTTATCTTAATATATATACAAAAGGCTTGGAACCTGAAAACCAAGGTAAAAGATAACTAGATTGCGAAGATCTAGACATACATACATACATTCATATATAGATTGAAAAGATCTAACAGCCTCCATGGTTGGGGAGGCAATCTAGTACCATTCTTCTCCTACACTGCCAGTTGTATGGTTCTATGGCGATGAAGTGCAATAATATAAGTTGAAAGAAAACGGACCATAAACAGGATGTTGCGGAGACAACTGACCAAGAAAGATGGAAAAATGAATTAATTAATTATCAAAGTGAAAGACATTGTACCCTGTCTGGTAGATTTCTAGGCATTGGAACTGCGGTAACATATTTCTGGGGGTATGATTTTTGAGCATTTGCAGTTGAATCAGATGATGAGGTTTCTGCCCCATCATTTTGCCCCCGACCATGGAACTTGGCAAATCGATTGATCACAGAAAATCTTTCTAAATCCTGACATTCCAATCTCAAGTCCAAAATTGAGGCTCTGCTATCCAATCTGCATAATCAATATAAAAATTGTTAAAAAAAATAAGCAAAAGGATCGAAAAACCAAAGCAACAGACAGAAAGAAAATAATAACCAAAACTTAAAAACAAAGCAGTATATGTGTATGAGATATTGCAGATATCATCATTACCAAGAAAAACCAAAAAATAGGTGGTGCATACTGTTATTTAAAAAAGTTTAGTAAATTTACAGTCCATCAGGAGAGGCATGTTAATATCATTGATATAATAATTTTTCTTCTTCTATGCTTTCTAATCTTGCAGTTTACATGAGATGAGATACATGTTTAAAAGTTCAGAAACTGAAAACTTCTACCATCATAAACACACTTGGTTTTTTCTACACTAACAATAGAAATATGAACCTTTCCACACTAATACAAGTGGAAACAGGATATCCAACCTAAATTTCCAGAAATGACCTGTATGTGTATTTCACAAGCAACTGAACCCATTCCTCATATAAAGAAGAAAGTAAAATGGTCTGAAAATATTCCATATTTGAACGTGTCAAATAATTGTTCTACCGAAATTATTACTACTGAAGAACATTAAAAGGCCACGACTTATTAAACTCATTATTTATTCAAGACACAATAGCAAAGCACCTATTCATCTGTATTCATACACAAATGACCCTGCATATGAAATCTGTTACCCACACAGACCACAGTATTGGCCAAGGCCATGAGAAAAATAAACACTGATAGTACCTCAATATATCATTTTCCAGTTTTCTCGCTCTACTATCGAAGTCTTCCACTTTCAAATTGTACTGGTCAAATTTCGCAGATGCTTTAAGCTTATCGGGCAGGCTACAGAATACACCAGTAAGAAAATTAATGGTTGATATAACATATCTGAAACATGGAATCATGCATGTATGGTAAATATTAAGGGCTTTTAGGGAGCTTATTTCAGACTATCATAAGGTTCGTGCATGTGTTTGGTCAAGCTTATGAAGTAGCTAATGACTCTTCTATGAGGTCTTTTTGGCTTATTTCAGTATGCTTTGTAGTGAAGCTTGTACAAATAAGCTTGTTAATAAATGCTCAACTACGTTGTTCACTCATTGATCAAATTTCCCATTTAAAAAAGAATAAAAAAATCTTACATGCTTTTGCTTCCAGGGGACATGATTGTGTCATTTCCTGTTTGAGAGATGGAACTGCATGCATCTCCTAACACTAATCTAGCAACAGAGTAGACCAAACTTTCATAATGCAACTTGACATCTGCAGAGAGAACTACAGCAGGAGGGGGATTAAGTAGTTGCTGCATAAGCTGTGTCGTCAACACAAGCCTTCTTTTGGACTTCATTGGCACATCTTCAATTAGTTCAGCTTCATCCTCAATCTAAAGTCATATACGAGCAGCATGAACTTCTAGTAGCAAATGAATTAACATATTTAGTTTAGATTGATTTAATTATGAACAAACCTTCTCAACCAATCTATTTGCAGCTTGGGCCCAGTCTAATTCTGCCACACTGCCAAGTAGTAAAGAACCTCAATCTCAGAAATTAGAAGGCAAAAACACACTGATAAATGTAAAACAAGATTATATATATATATATATATATATATATATATATAGAGAGAGAGAGAGAGAGAGAGAGAGAGCAAAAGTATGAGGCATAAAATACTTCTAAGAAACTAAAAACAGATCTAGCAAAGATTAAGGACCTTTTGTAACTTCTAGTCATCAGAAATACTAATAGAAAATTATAAGTGCATTAAATCTACATTTAGTTAGCTCATTTTATGTTAAGAACCTAAAATCAAAATCATAAGCGAACTTGGGACTGAGTTGTTTTCTGTGAAATAATCTAAGGCAAGAAAGTGGGATAAATCACATCATTTTGTCAATCACCTGATATCTTGAAGCCTTTCACCCTGACTCAGCTCTTTATGCCATGGTATAAGTTCAGATGCGGAACTTTTACGCTTCTTTGGTCGCATACTAGATGACAAATCAGGTTCAACTGCAGGAGGAAGTAATGACTGAGAAGGCAGATGCTCATTCGAAACCGAAGTAAGCATGGGATTTTGCCCAGCATCATTGAGACTATTAGCTTGCTCCATTGAATTAGTAAGATGCAAACTACCAGATTGGTTCCTCATGATTAAAGGCTGCTCCAAAATCTTTGGTGGAGTCATTGTTCGCATATCATACATTTGCAACATCTTACCATTTTTAAAAGTTCCATACTGCTCAAACCACGACGGAGCCATCTGAGGATTTATCACAGAATGCTCACTTCCAACAGCAGTTACTTTGTTATTATTACCAACATTAAGAGCATTTCTCTGACCATATCCAATGACCTCCTGAGAAGATGCATTAGTATCTCGACGAGCATCACCCACCTTTGTTGAAAAGTTTACCAAGTTCGGATCTGATGGTGGCACTGAAGAACTATTATCTGACACATCTTTGACTATGTTATTGTATCCATACGATTGTTGTCCACGGTTGGAATCTATCTGTTGCTTTTCCATCATATTATCTGAAACCTTGAATCTCTTGACATCCCGGTTACTAGGATCAATCTCCACATTTTTCATGGACTGAACTTGATTTAGCATAGAGACATTCTGATGCAAGAAATTATTTGGTCTTAAAGATCGGCCAAAATCTTCAATATCTTTAGAGGTAGCAGCTGGGCTTGATTGAGGTGCATCAGAAGTATATTTCACATGTTCCTTCGTGTGTGAAGCATTTGCAGTCTCTTCAACAGCATCAACACTCTCAGACAACACCTGCTGCACAGAAAGGTTACCATCATTCTCTGAATCTTCAATACCTGGCTTCTGTGGTCCTGTTGTCGTCTCATAAATATTATTTGGTTGGGGATGGGATGGAATCTTCAAAGCATTAGGATGTTGCTTGCTAGAAACACTTGTCCATACATTGTGTAATAATTTTGAATGGGCACCCTGTGGAGATGTTGTAACAGAAGAATGAGGAGCAATGCCAGCTTCCATTGCTGAAGATTTCATGAAAGGATCTCCAGCACGGATTTGATTCATACTATCCATCTGGGACATCTCCTGAGCAGATTGCAATTCAGATTGACTAGTTTGAGCTCTTTCACAATACTCATCTACTTGATTACTGGAAGCAGTCCGATCAAAAAACATTGCATTATCAGATTGGGTGTTTGCTACTTGTCCACCAAGATTAGCCACGTTCTGATTTTGAGTATGGATCCTTGGAAAAGGAAAGCCCGCAGCAAAACCCTGTGGAATATTTCCCAGTGCACTGTACTGTGAGGCTTTGTCAAATAGTTGTCCTGAGGAACCTACGTTATTTCTAAGCTCGTGAGGTGACTCTCGAGGAGGAAAAGTATGAGTAGCAGACAACCAAGTAGGACCCTTATCCCCTGTCTCAGATGCAACATGTTGTGGTGTGGCATGAGATGATGTCATAGGAAGCCTTTGAGTGGGAGGAGCCAGTTGCAAACCAAAGCCCTGAGACAAAGAACCTTGATTTCGTTGAGGATGTACAGAAGACCCATCCGAAGATTCTGCATCCATCACCCTGGAAGATAAAGGGCGGTTAGAAGTGCTTGTGTTTGTTGCAATGCCATGCTCCCTTGACTGATCCACTTTATGAAGAAGCTCAAGAATATTTTGACTACAATAATTTAACAAATAAAA